TGGGAGATCTTACTCGCAGCGTCTCCTCGCCGCCATGTTGCTCCGCCCCTCAGGTTGATCTCATCTTTGCTTTTGTTCTCTCTTCCCTTAATTTGTGACTAACTTCTTAGTCCCCTCTCCCCCATGTTCTCAACCATTGCTTGCATACTTCTCCCATGTATCTCTCCTCTAAACTACTGCAACAGCCTACTAAATGTCCCTCCTTTATGTTTTGGAATCCGTCCTCCTGAAATATAGACCTGATCTCCTCCCACTAAAACCTTTATTTGATGCCACTCTGATGATTCTAGTGAGGACCCATGTCTGGGGTTCTCTCTGCTTTAGAGTAAAATCTTCACTAACAGTAGAGCATCATGTAAAGAGGAATGTAAGGACTAAGTAGATTATAAGACCCCAACCAAGTAACTCAGGTTCTTTAAGATGCTAGAAGCTTAGTGCAAACCATGATTGCTGATGTGGACATTGAGACAGAAACCCTGTTGTATGCACTGGACACATGGAGAGGGTGGGAGCAGTTGGAGACCCAATGGACAGTGAGTGCCCTAGCACAGAGTGCAATGGATAGTTACAGAAAAACTAAGCCCAGAACCCACTCTCTGATGGATGGAGTATCCAGTCTACTTCCTGTTCTATCCTGAAGCTTTCAAATGCTAAAGCAATCATGATTAGATCTTGATAAATGCCAGGAGAGCAAGACTAAGTGGGGCTTCCTCTAATCCCTACAATCATGGTTCCCAACTTGAACTCATACTTTGAATTTCTCAACAAGATTCTAAGGACCCATTACAAATGGTCTGAATCATGTTTTCCAAGTCTAACTCCCGGAAGTAAACATTTTAAGTGGGTTTTTCATGTAGTTCGTATGTAGTCAGTTCAATATAGGTATGATCTAAGAGGGGAAAATAAATGAATTGGAGGGGAAAATAAAATTAGCAATTCTTATTATGACATTCAAGATTCTCCACCACAGAGCTCTGATCATTTTGTAGCCATTCACCTTTGTGAGCTTATTTTTCTCTCTCTTCCTGTGTACTTGATGATCCACCCATCTGTACATTTGCTCATATTTTTCTCCTTGCTTTGAATACTGTTCCCCATCTTCTCTGTTTGGAAAAATCCTACAGTTATATCAGTATCCAAGTAATAGATCTGTTGTGAAGTTTCCTTTGAAAACCAGCAGACTTAATTGGCTTTATGTTCCCAAAGAACAAACTGTTGGTGGTAATGGTCATGATAAATTTATAGTTACAAGGTCAAGATATTCTGAATCACAAACCAGGACACATGATACAGCAATTGGAACCATCTCAGATAATGTAAGATATTTGATTCCACAATTTCAGTTGCTTGTGTGCCTTCCCTGATTTTAAAAAAAGAAAATGTGAGCTTTTATGGGCTAGAGAGAATGCTGAATTTGCTAGAGAAACCACCCAACCCTTAATACAGTAAAGGCACACAAAGGTGCCTAGTAAATGTTGACCCATAGAGCATTTATGTGAATATGGTGTAATCATTGTGAGGGCCGAGGTACTTTTAGTACCACCAGAAAACTGGGACTTCCAGACACCTCTCTGCAGGTGAATGAGAGGTTTTGTTTGTTTGTTTGTTTTGTTTTTTAATGTGTGTGTTTCACTCTTTGTCATATTTCAATTAAAATTAGGCATAAACCATGCTGCACTGAGTCAGCAGGGTAAGGGAAGAACTCAGGACCTGACAGAGAGGGAGGAGTGTAGGCTGTATAAGATATATACAAAATCCCAGCTCTCATAATAATTAAATTCTTGTAGGGAAGATGGGCCAAGTTCAGGCTAAATAAATACGGTATTTCCCAAATTTTTAGGGCTTATTGTACTAAAGGAAACAGACAATGAGGAAATATACAAATAAAATTATTGAAATATGATAAGTGCTCTGCATAAAATAAAAGTGGTGATGTGTCAGAGAGGGTCTCTTCTTGTTGCAAGTGGTGGACCAGGATTAAACTCTTAGAAATGGCTTTTGTGTTGAAAAATGGGGATGAGGGAAGAGCCAGCCATACAGTGAACTGGCAGAAAATCTTTTCAGGAAGGGGAAAACTCAGTTGGCATGACCTAGAGATATGAATGAACTTGCATGAATGTTTGAGGAACAGAGACACAATATGACTAGAGTTCAGTAACAGAGGGGCCAAGCTGCAGGGGATATGAGTGCAAAAGGAGGGAGGACAGATGATGTGGGTGTTGGAATGTTTATTTTTTGCCAAATGCAATGGAAAGTCATTGGAGTGTTTTAAGCAGGAAGTGGATGATACTAGGATCTACAATTCTGAGAAATAGTTAAGAAGTACAATTAATAGAATCTGTTGATTTCTCAAATACATTTAAATCAGAGTGTATAGCAAAGGAATTCAGAGATTCAAAGGTGACCCTCATTTTTTTGGCCTAACTAATTGGGTGACCATGGTGCTACAGAAGGAGGAAGATTTGTATGAAAGTTAATTTGTTATTTTAGACAAGATGGATCTGAGGTTCCCATGCAGTACCTAGGTAGAGATGGTAAATAAGAAATTGTGTCTATGTGCCTGAAGCTTTGGAGAGAAGTCAAGGTCAGAGCTATAATTAGAGACACATCATTTTCTTTTAACTGGCTGTTAAAACCATAGGAGTGACTGCAATTACGCAGAAACTGTGCAACTTGTGGAATGGGACTGTTTTAAGAGTGGGTAGGGATAACAGTATCAACAAAAGAAATGGGTAATGAAATCCTAGGAATCACTTTTACAATAAAGACCTTAATCATATAGAATCTTATAGAATCTTAATAATATAGAATCATATAGACTTGATCATATAGAATCTTCAGTGACCTTGGGGAGGCAAATTGAAACAGAAGGCAAATGTTGGCTACTCTGAGAAGTCTGACAGACAAAGGAAGGCAGTGAATTGCACAGAGCAGTATAAGGTTGAATATTTTTTAGGGTGGGAAAAACAGGACCATGTTTCTTAGGGTTGGAAAAACAGCACCAGAGTAGAAAGAGGAGATTAAAATTTTTAGAGGATAGGGAAACTTGGAAAAGTGAGAACTTGGAAGAAAAAATGGAGGGAGTTAGAGGAGTTCTCTTTAAATAAGAAGGGTACTTCATTTTTTTTTTTTTTAATTTTTACTTAGAGGAGCTGGGATGTAGGCCAGAGGTACAGAGAGGGGGTTGTGTGTGAGAGGATTCACCACAGACAGAGTAGGGAACAGAACAGGCAGATTTACTAAATACACTGTTGAGGGGAGCAGAGGGTGAGACAGGAGAGGTCTGATGCACAGTATGTGGATTAGCTTCCTGGCCAGGGATTAAACCAGGCCATTGTGGTGATAGAGCTGAGACTTAACTCCTAGGCCACCAGGGAGGCCCAAACCTGATTCTTCTGTCATGAAATGAGCTGAGTAAAAGAGTGGATGTCCACATGTTTGCATGAGAGGCGATAGAATTTATATACAACTAAATAATTATTTAATCTAGTTAGATATTAAGAGGTCCTTAGTTCAAGAAATCTATTTTTTTGCTCTAATTTTTTATTGAGGTGAAATTCATATAACATAAAATTAACTACTAAAAGTACTTTTAGTACAATCACAATATTGTGCAACACCACCTACTTCTAGTTCTAAAATATTGTCAACAACCCAAAAGAAAACACCATATCCACCAAGCAGTTATTTTCCATTTTCCCCTTCCTTCTTGCCCCCAGCAGCCACTTATTTGCTTTCTGTCTCTGTGAATTGGCCTATTCTGGCATTTCCTATAAATGGAATCAATGTAATTAATATGTGACCTTTTGTGTCTGGCTTCTTTCACTTAGCGTATTTTCTTTTCTTTTTTTTTTTTTTTAAATAATAAATTTTATTTTTATATTCCCCATACAATTGCAACCCCCCCCATTTTGACCCCAATCCCTCCCCTCCCGCCCCCCACCCCCCAAAAAGTGTCTCTGTTTCATAGTTTTTTGTTGATTCTGATTTTCACTTTCTTATAGTTATTCATTTTCCTGGTCCCTTATTTAAGTTTTCTAGATTCCTGCTATGAGTGAGACCATCCGGTATTTTTCTTTTTCTTTTTGGCTGATTTCGCTGAGCATGATCCCTTCCTGCGCCATCCATGTTGCTGCAAATTGCATGTGTTTATCTTTTTTGAATGCTGAGTAATATTCCATGGTGTATATGTACCACATCTTCTTGATCCAGTCATCAATTTTTGGGCATTTAGGTTGTTTCCAAAGCTTAGCTATTGTAAACAGTGCTGCTATAAACATAGGAATGCAGGTGCTCTTTAGAATTGATGTTTCTGTGTCCTTTGGGTAAATACCTAGGAGTGGAATTGCTGTATCATATGGAAGCTCTATGTTTAGTAGGTCCAGAAATCTAACCAGGAGGTACTTTGCATGGCTGATTCAGTCTCACAAGGTCATGCCCAAAACTTCCAATGTAGACACAAACTTCTTTCATCATTATTGTGCCTCAGTAGCTGCTATACTTGTATTTTTGCTTGAATTTCCCAGGAAATGAACTCTGAGAGGGAGGTTGTGTGAAAAAAACTCAAGAATGCCCATGAGTTCTATTTTTATGGAGGGGAAAGGGGGCAAGATTGTGCAGAGGGAGGATTTAACTATAATGTTGTCTTCAAAAAAGCCATCAGCCGACCCCAAAGAAGGGATGATAATTAAATGAGGGCTGCCCACTAGACAACATAGCTTTTTAGGGGTAGAGTGATTCCCAGGGGCAAACTCAGCTGAGAACCATCAGTTACCAGCCCACAGTACCAGCAGATAAGGGAATGAGTGCTTTGGTCTTAAAGGGCACACAGTGGCTCACACACATTCACTACATGTAGGGGGGAAATACGTGAAAGTTGTTAGTTTCCCTAGAGTGTATTAAAGTTGTTTGATAAAGTTCCCAAGTGGGAAAGTTTTTTTTCATTTTTAACAAATCTCTAAAGGTTATTACTTACTTTGTATAATCTTTCTCTTTTGCAGAGCCTTCACCTTCTGAAAAGAACTGTGACTCCAATTTCCTCACCAGTAGGATCAGAAGACAATATTATTGACATTTGATAGTATCACACTTGCCTTCTCAATCATCCATACCCAACTTTGTTGTCCTTTCTCTACTCAGAGGAGTTCCTTTCTCCAGCATGAGAGCCACAGACCAATGATTAATGATTATGCTGAAGCTTCTTTCTCTTCACATCCATCTTGGAATGAGTTTCAATATTTCCCTACCTTGCTTTCTGGCAGGCTTCTTGTGCTTTTCGTAGGTAGGTCTCAACAACCTATAATGACTTGCCTAACCGCTGATATGGGTGATCCCTTGGGGGAACCTTGCCAGATATGGCACATTAAAGATGTCTAAGATTTTTTTTTTCTCTTCCCATCAAGAGGTTAAAGTGGGGCAAGATGGGATTGTTTATATGTCATTTCCTGGAAATTGTGTGACTGATTGCTTTGGTCAATAGAGAAAATGGCACCAGTGACATCGCACCGGTTGTCTGGCCTAGCCCTTAAGAAACTAGCAGGCTCCATTTTCAGATTCTTGGAAAACTTTTTCTAAGATCACTGTGCCATGTAAAAAGTACAGCTTCCTGAGACCTTACATCATGCTGGAGAGGCTAGCATAGGCACTGCAGCCTACCTGAGCCCAGCCTGCCAGACATTCCTGCCTGGGTGATGCCAGCATGTGCATGAAGACACTTTGGACTCTCTTTTCAAACTATGCATAGAGGAATACCCTGAGCAACCTCAGTCAGTGCTTTGAGCTGCTAAGGTTTTGGATCTATTAAATACGGCAATAAGTCACAGGATCATGAGGTATGTAACATTCTCTGTGTCTGACCAAGACAGTGATATTTCCTTCATAGTTATTTCATAAATGCTATAACTAAATGTTCCAAAATGTTCAAACTTCATCAACAAATTGTGTCTAAGCCCTCTTTCTGTTACATATTATCTTGGAAGTCTGTTTAGAGTTCATGGCTGTTTTTCTAGTAGATGAGTATCAAAAGTACCAGGTCTCTTTCTCTGTGTTTTCTCCCTCCCCAACTCCACCCCGTTCCCCTTTTCCTTGCATTATAATCCATTTCATACAACCTATAATCATATTGAAAGGATTATGAAGAGATTGATAAATAGAGAGTTACAAGTTGTGTTTGGAGTCAGAATGACATATAATCCTAGCACATGTGACCTTTGCCAGTTGGGGAATGCATCTCAGAGCTCTTCACAAGTCTGACCTTGCAGAATAGATACTGTTACTTAGTATCTTTCCAGTGAGGAAAAATCAACTTTCCACAGAAAAATTTCAATTGTTTTTTAAAGAAGAGAGAATAGAACATTGGAGTTAATAGGGTGATTGCAATGAAAATATGGACTTTGTGGAAGGAAATATGATTGAGAAATGATCCCTAAATTGAATCAGACAATGCAAAAAAGAGAATCTAGTTTCTTCTACATGCTGAAGTTTTGTCCTTGTGAGCCTTGATATTTTAAGATCTCATTGGGCCTAGGAACTTGAAAAGTCTCCTGAGATTTCTTTGTAATTTGGTTTATAATCTTGCACTGCCTGCCCTTTTCTGGGTGCTCTTGGATAGGTGTAGAGTACTGATGAATAACGAAAGGGTACAGAAATGTTATCTACCATACATGCAAGACTAATGCAATCACACTCATTTCTGTGCATTACAATTACAGAGTGAAAGAGATTAGATGCTAATCCTGTCTTTCACTCATGCAGAAAAAGGAGGCCCTCAGAATTTAAATGACTCATCCAATAGCACATAGCCAGTTGTCAGTAAGTAGGGATAAAAAAAAAAAGTCATTGTTCCTATTGTGACTACATCAACTCTTGCTTTTGTAAACATATTCTTCCTAAAATATTTAACCTTGGGCCTCCCTGGTGGTGCAAGGGGTTAAGTCCCAGCACTATGAAGCAATCCACAATCCACAGTCACTTCAACACAGAGTTCCATTCCCCACCCAGCCAGGGAGGTGACCCACATGGCGCAGCAGACCTCTCCTGTCTTGCCCGCTATACCCCACACCAGTGTATACCCCTCACAGTCAATCCGCCTGTTTTGCTCCCCACTCTGTCTCTGGTGAATCCTCTCACACACACTGCCGTCCCCTATCCCCGCACCTCTGGCCTATACCCAAAGCTCGTGTATGCGTAAATAAATAAATCTTAAAAAAATACTTAACCACTTCTAATACATGACATGTACTGTGCCAGACACAGGTAATCAAAAGCTGAATAAAATAGGGTGGTCTTGCCATGTGAAGCTTGCTTAATGAGATATGGTGAGGCTGAATAAAAAATATGTCACTCTGTAGTGGAATATGGAGTTAATGGTATGACAAATCAATCTTCTTTTAATTTCCTCTAGGATACTCTGATATCCAGAATATTCTAAGGGGAGAAAAGTTTGCTCTTCTTCCCACTTTTATTAAAATTAGAGATTAAATTCGCAAGTTTTATTTCTGTTACTTTGTTGCAAGATTTGTCCTTGGTCTCAAAAAGTCTGGAAGCTGACTAGTCAATCTCAGTTCTTCCTGTAAAGGTTGATAGTCCTATAAAAGATTTATTAGTTTGATTTTGTTGTCAGGGAGAGTCATTTATTTACTCTGCTTCTCTTGGTTTAAAAGTTTTATCAGGTAGAATTGATTGCTGTTATGAGAAAAATAAGTTAATATAATAATATAGACAATTCTAGTATTTTGATTAGTACAGAGAATGTTCCAGAGGAATATCAAGCCAAGATACAGTTAGACTTTCTTTATAAACATGTGAGCAGGGATAATTGAATAAGAAACACACTTAAAGACTAAATTCAATGGGAACAAATTAGGATAAATCATATAAGATTGCCTATATTTAACTATTTTTGACCTACAAAAATGGCAGTGTCCTATAAATGCAACCAAATATATTCTGTTATTTGTATTGAATTGATTTGATTTAATATTCACATTTATATTTGGACAAATGCTCTATTCAGAGCTTTGGGCAATTTTACCTATACAAAATTCAGTTTCTTTATTTGAAAAGTGGAGATATTAATAATTTATATGTATTTATGAATGCATGTAAGTGTATGTATGTGTGTATTTGTGTATGTTTATATGCATTTTCAAAAATCAACTTATCTGTCCTGGCATATGTTGGCTTACTACTCAGGTGCTCCACAGGAAGGACACAGTGCCATCCTCAGATTGGCTGACTCATGACTTTAACCTGCTCCTTGGAATACACAGGCCTTTTTGCTAGACCTCTTATTAGTCACAAACTGAAATCACTATGCTCAAAATCATCTGTATTTCAATTCCTAGCACATTTATATTGCATTTATTACTTTTAACTTGAACTTTTCAAGTTTCCCAGTTTTACTGACATATAGTTGACTTACAGCACTGTGTAATGACTTGATCTACATATAGTATGAGATGTCTACCACAATATAGTTAACATCCATCATCTCATACAGATAAAAAAAGAGACATGATTTTTTCCCTGTGATGAGAACTCTTAGGATCCACTCTCTTAGCAACTTCTAATATACTGAACAGTGTTAACTATAGTCATTGTTTTGTACATTCATTTATCATATTAATTTGTCTTTTAACTGGAAGTTTATACTTTTTGATCATCTATAAGTGAGATCAGTATTTGTCTCTTCCTGTCTCATTTATTTCAAAAGCGTAATGCTTTGAAGATCCATTCATGTTGTCACAGATGAGAGGGTTTCTTTCTTTCTTTCTAGCTGAATAATATTCAATTGCTCTGTGTGTGTGTGTGTGTGTGTGTGTGTGTATCTCACAATTTCTTTATCCATTCATCCATAATGGACACAAAGGTTGTTTTCATGTCTTGGCTATTACAAGTAATGCTGCCAGCTCTGCATTTTTAGATCAGTGGTTTGCAAACTTGGATGCATATTAGAACCACCCCATGAGTTTTTTGAGCATACTCGAGCCTGGAATCCATCCTAAAGCTCCATATACCGTTAGTCTTGAGGTTTTAAAGGAATCAGTATTTTCTCAAAAGGTCCTTAAATCCCATGTTCTACTAGGCAACTTGGGCTGAGAACTAAAGTCCTCTGAGAAATAATTCCATGCCTATGTATCTTCATTGCTGTTTCTCTTCTCCCTCATGAAACCCAGCACCCTGAGGACTTATCCTAGGTCATTGTAGTGGCAGGAGAGGACACTGAGCAGGTTTCCTATGATCCAGCACACAGGTAAAGGAGGGTCTTGGAGCTCTCGGTGGCTTTCTCAGGCTTTTATTGATCTGTACATGAATTGCAGCAACCAGGTACATGGCAGGCAGGGATGCCAGGGGGCCAGGAGGCCCACAGGCTTCCAAGCCCCTGGCAAGTCTTCACTCTGGGTTTCTTTCTCTGGCTTTCTCTTCCTCTCTTCTCTCTCCTGCCTCTTCTCCTGCTTCTGCGTGTCTTGTTTCTGCTTCTCTTAGTGACTACCTCTAAATACTCCTCCCATGGCCCACAGAAGTAAATAAGTCAGTTTGCAACAATGTAACAACTGCAGGTGCCCCATTGGGCAGGGCAATCCTAATGGTGGGAGGGCAGAAAAGCCTGAAAACCATCAACCAAACCATTTACCCTATAGTCATATTAGTACTTCTTATCTCGTTTTTTGTATACATCCCCTTGCATCTCATATCTATTCCTTCTGCATAAATAAGTTGTTAATGAATAAGGAGTTTTTTCTACTATAAGGCCTGGAAAAAGGTTGAAAAGAAGTTTAGTGATGGAGAATTGAGGGTGCTTGTTTAGGGAAGGCTTGGCTACTACTGGTGGCATTTTCCCATTTCTAGTGGGAATCCCAACAAACTGGAATGCATCCATGCAAACTGCCTAGAAAATACACAGATAAGCTTTTGGGGTCTCCAAAAATATGCCTGGTGGGGTCCTTGAGCTACATCACCATTGTACCATCTTTGCCTCATCTCGTCCTCTGTCTGCAATCTGTGGTTATGGGCCCAAGCTAGTATACCATTATCAGCATCTTTGCTGGACCAGTTCTGTCTCAACTTGGCAGTTGGAATTCTATCCAAATTTTGTCTGCTCCATAAAGCCTTTCCTAGGTCCCCTTCAACCCTGTCTCATGTATTGTATGAAACTTGTGACTATCTAGCAGATTAGAAATAACAGTGGATTAGGGACTGGACTAGGCTCCAATTCTGCACAAACCAATAGTGTCTGGACAACTATACTTACAATGAGTTGTTGAATGATTGAATGATCGAATGAATGGGTTGCGTTGGGGAATAAACTCTTCTGAAACTTTTTTTATCTATGAGATGAGGCCAGTATAGAGAGTGTTTTTACTTCTGTAAGGGTTGTCCTAAGAATGCCTGTATCAATACTCCTTGGGCTTCTTATTTAAATGCTGAATCCTGCCCTTTTATATGTATCACAATTACTGGAGGCCTAAGAATCTGTGTTTATTATGCACCCCAGGTGACTATTATGCTCAAAAATTTGGAAAACAAATGGATTTGTGGTTATATGTTCAATAAAGTGGCATGATGGCAATTATCAATGTAAATGTTTGGTATTCATAGAGATGAGAGGTTATTTTTGTTGAAGATATATGGAAGAGATATCTTGGTTGGAAAAGTGCTAGTAGTGGAAAGAAAGGAAAATATGCCAGGAATATTAGGTTCATCAACAGGTAGAAATATATTAGAGTACAATGATAGCATATTTGAATATCATATGCTCCCCTTTGTAGTCAATAGTCATGCATTAAGTATCTCTTCATTATCCTAGTCAAGTGATGGGGAGAGAGGAGTG